GGGTTGTGGGGAGTGTTGGAACTGTTGAGCTTCCTGATTATATTGTGGGTTACACAAACCTAGAGATATGTTAGAATTCATAGAACTGTACACCCCCCAAAAGTCCTTTTCACTGCATAATTTTATTATTCAGTAAAATGTCAAACAGATTGAGTATCTTCCATTTTATTGTGTTTGACCTAACACTCCTTGGGAAAAACAGAGGAGGTACCACAGACCCTGTTTGGGAAACACTCTTTTCTCCTCAGAAAACCCCATGAATTGCAAGTGGATAAGTCTCTCTCAAAATCTGAGGTTCTGTTCTGTGTTGCATTCATTATATGACATTTTTTTACTTTTGGGGTTATCAGAAATTATTTCACATATGAAAGAATTTTGATATGTAATAATTGGGTAAGATATATACTTTTGAGGATGGCTAATAGCAGTTATGGGGAAATAGCTCTTCACATTTGAATCAGAGAAACATACCCTTGACCACATAAAAAGTATGGGGATGTCCCCACACCCAACTGAGAAATAAGATTTCCATGGGAATAAACTGATTGTTTTTTGGATCCATTTAAAAATGGATCTGATTTTAAAATGGAACCCTTAGTTTTGGAGGATCTGTTTTGCCTTCCAGCTGCCTTACTTTTTAGGCTGTAAGAACTACATGTTTTCCTGGTCCTGGGATCCACCCTGAAGCTAGTAATTCAATTAAGAAACTGACAAAGGAAAAACCTTACAACTACTGAATCTTTTGTCTGTATATTTCTGTGTTGTGTGTGTGATATAAAAGAGCTCTGATTAATTGGTTTAAAAACAATAAGAGCTTAAATCAAATATTTTGTCAGAAAAGTAAAAACTGTAATGCCTTTTAGTAGATGTGACAAGTAATCTTTTGGGAATTAAACAGTTTTAAAGATTATTGGAAAGATAAAATGTCTTCAAAATATAAACATTTGATCAAAATTATACAGGTCACATATTAGGTTTACCAACTACTTGAAGGTCACAAACTGCTTCTTTGACTTTTAAAAATTGTTCAATTTTCCTACCTTGAAGTCATTAGCTTCTAAATAAGGCCTGGGGACATATGGAATTAGTCATGCCCCCTTACTATACAAAGAAGGTTATAAAGAAAAAAAGTTTTATATTAAAAAAAAATCTTGTATAGCAAATTCTTTTCCTAAAATAAAATGACTGGTTATTTAAAAAGAGGGATGTTTACGATAAATCAGAAAGTCCAAACATATTGTAGATAGTCTGTATAAGAAATCAAAGCATTCATGAAAGGGATTTTATACAAGAAATGTTATACAATTTAAAGGTGATTAGACCTTCTGAATACTTCATAAAATGCCACTAAGGCTCTTACTGTACAATTTGCCAGCTTTAGAGCTAGGTAGGGCCTGGGGCACATGGAATCAGCTACACCCTCTAACTACTTTTTTTTTTTTTTTTTTTTTTAAATCGCTGGAGGGAGTAGCCACCCTACTGACTCCCCTACCCTTCTGCCACTCCGATTGGTCACGACCCCCTAGTTTTTTTTTTTTAGACTACTGTACGGAGTCCACACTGTCCCCCCTGCTCCAACTACACCCCCCCCCCACCCCCTAACTATTAACACACTGGAAAGAGTCAGACCTTATCTACACTTGTGCCTGGGTCCTAGACTCCACATCTAGTACATAACTAAAATCCCACTTACCACTGTTTTCACCATGGGTAAAAGTTACTAAGAATTAACATTGTGGCCGGGCGCGGTGGCTCAAGCCTGTAATCCCAGCACTTTGGGAGGCCGAGACGGGCGGATCACAAGGTCAGGAGATCGAGACCATCCTGGCTAACACGGCGAAACCCCGTCTCTACTAAAAACACAAAAAATTAGCCGGGCGAGGTGGCGGCGCCTGTGGTCCCAGCTACTCGGGAGGCTGAGGCAGGAGAATGGCGGGAACCCGGGAGGCAGAGCTTGCAGTGAGCTGAGATCCGGCCACTGCACTCCAGCCTGGGCGACAGAGCGAGACTCCGTCTCAAAAAAAAAAAAAAAAAAAAAAAAGAATTAACATTGTAACATGGAATTTTCACTACTATAAAACAGTTTTACATGCAAGGTATGCAAAGAAAATGAAATGTGTTTTTGATAAAAGTTTATAAAAAATAGAAATGTAGATTTGTCTAGATTAAAAGGTTGTTTTAAATTAGATAGAATAAAACTGAAAGTTTTAACCAATTGTGGATAATTTTTGAACATTTAATTGTAAAAGAGATTCTGTGAGCACATTAACTAAAGTTACAGGGGTATTATCCAGTTGTAATATATATTGAACACTGTGATAAAAATGACAAGCTTCTCTTAAAGCTTTGATCAACTCTTTAATAACAAAAAGTGTGTAGTTATAAAAGTTTTGAGAATAATACCTTATGGTCAAACATTAAAACTGGATAAATTTGTCTAAAGATTCATTAAGGCCGGGCGCAGTGGCTCACATCTGTAATCCCAGCACTTTGGGAAGCTGAGGCAGGTGGATCATGAAGTCAGGAGTTCAAGACCAGCCTGGCCAAGATGGTGAAACTCCGTTTCTACTAAAAATACAAAAATTAGCCAGGCACAGTGGCAGGCACCTGTAATCCCAGGTACTCAGGAGGCTGAGGCAGGAAAATCACTTGAACCTGGGTGGCAGAGGTCCAGTGAGCCGAGATCAAGCCATTGGGTTTGACATCACTAATACACAAACATAATGGTGAAATTTGGATCATTTAGTAAAAAATCATACAGGAAACATTGTCAAATATGAAATGTTTTACTCTTTTTGGACTATATTTGTATAAATATGCTATTGGTATGTGTTTCAAAATTATAGGGCTGGGCAACATGGCTGACGTCTCTAATCCCAGCACTTTAGGATGCCAAGATGAGCAGATAGCTTGAGGTCAAGAGTTCAAGACCAGCCTGGTCAACATGGTGAAACCCCCGTCTCTACTAAAACTACAAAAATTACCAGGCATAGTAGCATGCACCTGTAGTCTCAGTTGCTCAGGAGGCTGAGGCAGGACAATCGCTGGAACCCAGGAGGCAGAGGTTGCAGTGAGCCAAGATCGCACCACCACACTCCAGCCTGAGCAAAAGAGTGAGACTCCGTCTCAAAAAAAAAAAAAAAAAGGGAAATCGCTATAATTCTAATATGACTAAGTGTATGTTATTAATAATTACACTTTGGGAGGCTGAGGCGAGCAGGTCACCTGAGGTCAGGAGTTCAAGACCAGCCTGTCCAACATGGTGAAACCCGTCTCTATTAAAAATACAAAACTTAGCCGGGCTTGATAGCAGGTGCCTGTAATCTTAGCTAGTTGTGAGGCTGAGGCGGGAGAATCGCTTGAACCCGGGAGGTGGAGATTGCAGTGAGCCAAGATTGCCCCTAGGAGACAGAGCAAGACTCAATCTCGAAAAATACTACTACTACTACTAATAATTACAATTGTTACCTAAAATCATTGTATGCCACAGAGCTAACCAAATTTCCTTGTCAATCATGTTCTTTTTTTACTGTAACTGCCCTAAGACTTTGCCATCCAGACAATCATCTTGTGTCAATCCTCTTCAAAAGATGATTTGTAGTCAACTATAAGACACTGACAGAGCTTCTTAAATGCAAGTTTCTGATAACATTAGAAATTTGACATTAGAATAGAGGAAGTTCTTTTTTTTTTTTTTTGAGATGGAGTCTCACTCTGTCACCCATATTAAAAGTACAAAAATTAGCCAAGCATAGTGGCACGCCTGTAATCCCAGCTACTCAGGAGGCTGAGGCAAGAGAATCACTTGAACCCGGGAGGCGGAGGCTGCAGTAAGCCAAGATGGTGCCATTGCACTCCAGCCTGGGTGACAGAACCAGACTCAGTGTCAAAAAAAAAAAAAGAAAAGAAAGAAAGAAAAGCAAAAGTATCTATTTCTTTCTTCCAGACAATAAATATATTACTTTATTAATTCCATTTAAAATTATGTCATAAACAATTAGTCATATGGGAGCACTTCTAGACAGTACCAAGTTTCATCTCATAATATTCAGCATGAAACTCAAAAATCAATAGAACAGGATTTGAACACAGATATTCACTGTCACAAATTTACCCTGAAAAAAAAGAAACTGATGTTTTAATGAATCTATGTAACTCACCAATTATCCACCACATTTTCTTGTGGAAATGTATTCATTTTCTACAGCTAAAATGGAAGGGATTTTGCCTGGGAGTAGCATTCTAAAAGCTAAGCCTTGAAATTCTGTTTGAAATCACCCAGCCATAAAAAAACAAAACAAAACAAACAAAAAAAAAAACACCTGAGAAAATTCCTAAACTCACTCTAGGAAAGAAAAAGGTAAATGAGAATTTTAAACAAATTTTTAACAAACGAAATATATGATTAGATATTTTTTTCGGAAATCCACCTCTTTTATGACCTTTGTAAATATTTTTCTACCTTTCAAGCCCTACTAATATAACGCAATTTACAGCTAAAGAACTAAGGTCAAAATAAGTGACAAACCTCTTCGAGGTGACAAACCCAGGTAGTGGCAGTGCTGATTAAATAACAGATGTGTCTGACTCGTGTTTCAGGTCAGGTCATTCAATCACCGGAGAGATCCTTCCACCCACTCCTGCTGACTTCTGTGCTCAAGAACCTCCCATTCAGAAGACATCGCATTATGCCCCAGTGACTGCCCCAGGTGCATTTTACTTTGCAAGCTCTTACACCATCTCACTGGGGTCAGTTCTGTTGTTGTTGTTTGTCTTTTGGAATACTTTTCAGTAACAAAACTTTCACTTTTTTTCCCCCAGTATTTTTCTTTAACTATATTTATTTCACTATTTTTCTGCCCCCTTAGATAATCCAGGGAGCAGAAATTATTTTTGTGTTTCCCCCTCAATACCAGCATCTGATTGGCTGACCAGCAATGTGTCTCCAAGAAATGAAAGCTGAGTTGGGTGAAGACAATTTTAATGTCTAAAGGAGTTACCTTTTCAAAATAAGAGTGCACCAGAAGATTCCTCTCAGCCCCAGGGCATCCACTTGCTCCCTTGAAAGGACACATGCCATATCTCAGGTCATCCTATGGGAGAAAATAAACCAGAAGCTGACATTCACTAGGCACTTTAGCTGACAGAACCATGGTGGATATCTTGGTTTATCCCCAGATAGTACTGAAACCCAGGACCAGGAAAAAAGTAAAGGGTAGCTGAGGACTCTTTTAAATCAGGTGAAGAAATCAGTACCTAGAGGGTGCCCACTGTTAGAAGCCAACTCGTAGTCAACCTGTCACTGAATCCTGGCCTCCTGTCTGCACTGGGACACATCACCCCATAGATTTTTCCAAACCAAAACCTTGACCCAAAAACATTCTGATAAGATCTCTGTGCCTAGAGAAGATAAAAGGAAAAGAGACACAGAGATTTTCTACAATACAGTGTCTGAGGATTAGTCTTTGTTTCCTTTTCATGGGAAATATTTACAAATGGATAACAAATCTTAGAAGCACCATTTAATGCTTTGTCAAAAACAATTAAAATATGGCATAAACAAGTACACCAAAGGACAAATAGGTGATAATGTGAATTAGGGAGGAAAAGTTGGCATTTGGGAATGCCAGAAGAAATTGGAAATTTAATATCTTACCGCAAGCCAGCGTAAGGCTGGAGAAATGGGGGATAGGGGTTAGATTTAAGACCCTGCCTGGGACACAGGTGAAAAATGCAGCAGAGAATCAGTTCCCCGTGGAGTGTGAAAATAATTAAAATAATTAAGTGACAGGCAATTAGACTGAGGTGTCTCTAGTCCCTGGGTTCCTACTTAAAAAAAAAATCCAACTCAGGTGCATTTTTTTTTAATTACTACATTCAGAGAAAATGTAGGCTTAAACAAATATAAACTGCTAATTAATCTCTGATTACACAACCAGGAAATCTTCACCGATATTGTACAAATTAAGAAACTACGTTACTATACCTAACCAATTATTAAATTTAGTTTTCTTCATAATGCATTTTATAAATGACTTTCCTTCAAGCCTCTCCCATAGACAACAAACTACAAACCATAGCTGGGAGCTCTACGATTCTTGAATCACTGTTTGATCAAATTATTTAAGCCAGGCGCGGTGGCTCACGCCTGTAATCCCACCACTTTAGGAGGCCAAGGCAGGCAGATCACGAGGTCAGGAGTTCAAGACCAGCCTGGCCAACGAGGTAAAACCCCGTCTCTACTAAAAATAGAAAAAAATTAGCCGGGCCCGGTGACAAGCGCCTGTAATCCCAGCTACTCGGGAAGCTGAGCCAGGAGAATCGCCAGAACCCGGAAGGCGGAGGCTGCAGTGAGCCCAGATCGCGCCACTGAACCCTAGCCTGGGCGACAGAGCCAGACTCTGTCTCAAAAAAACAAAACAAAACAAAAAAACCTTTAATATTTTTGCAGTGACTCCCATACATTTTTAATACGAGAAAAGAGGAACTGGGAAAGCCACGGACCAAAGCTCTTCCCATTCATGAACCCGCACCCCGAGTCAGGATTCTCCCCTGATAACCCTCCTGTGGTCCCTGCACAATCTGAGAGACGCGGCGCTGCGGGTGCAGAGCTGCCCAGAGAGGGCCCCCAGGCCAGAGCACAGTCACTAGCGAAGGGAAGAGACAAGATGCCTGGGGTCCCGGCTGTCAGCGCAGCCGCCATCTTATAGCTGAAGGGCACTGAGGCAAGCTGGGCAAGGAGAACTCGGCGCGCAGATCGTGGAGCTGACTGCCGAGAGGCCTGAGTCCCGTCACAACTACTTCCCACCAGTTCCAAACAGCCCCTTCCCCTTCTCTCGGGAGGTCGGACCGGGCACCCTCACCATTTCTAGGCTTCCAGGGGGTCCTGGCGTCTTAGCGGTGGATCTCCCAATATCTGCAGGTCACAGGGCCACAGAGGATGGGCCTCCAGGAGCAGAAGACACAGAGCAGCGAGGACGAAACCTGGAGCTCCGGCTACAGCAAGAGACAAAGGCCCCGCCAAACCCGGAAGCCGTCCCGTCCGCTCCAGCTGCATGCCTGATTGGACGATTTCCAGCGCAGCTTCCCTGGTTGGATATTGCTTAAATCCCCGCCCCGTCAGGCTTTGAGTGACAGAAGATGTGATCAGACGCTGTACTGAATGAAGAGTGACAGCCTAGGCTGGCCCCACTTCTGACAGGGCTTCCTCTCTGAGCTGAGCCAGGCCCATACCAGAGAGTATTTGCCTTTAAACTTGTGTATAAGGTCATATGAATAAATAAATAATACATTAGAAAGCTATACACAAATGAAAAGAATATAATGACAATTATTTTAAAATTTCAGCTTTTATGACCTTCCTGGCTTCTGGCCCGGCCCTTTGAGCAGGCAGCCTGCGATTGTAGAAAAGAGAAAATCATCTGAATTGAATGATTTTCATTTTAGAAAAATTTCATTTTAGAAAATGAAATTCTAAAATTTAGAAAAAATTTAGAAATTCTAAAATTTCATTTTACAAAATCCACAGCCACGTGTGGATTTTAAATTTTCTAGTAGCCAAACTTTAAAAAGAAACAAGTTGAACTGATTGTTAACAATGTAATTAACCCATTATATTCAAAATATTATCATTTTAATGTGTGAGAAATATGTAATTATTATTGTTATTATTTATTTTATTTTTTTTTTTTTGAGACGGAGTCTCGCTCTGCCACCCAGGCTGGAGTGCAGTGGCCGGATCTCAGCTCACTGCAAGCTCCGCCTCCCGGGTTCCCACCATTCTCCTGCCTCAGCCTCCCCAGTAGCTGGGACTACAGGCGCCCGCCACCTCGCCCGGCTAGTTTTTTGTATTTTTTAGTAGAGACGGGGTTTCACCGTGTCAGCCAGGATGGTCTCAATCTTCTGACCTCGTGATCCGCCCGCCTCGGCCTCCCAAAGTGCTGGGATTACAGGCTTGAGCCACCGCGCCCGGCCAAAATCATTTTCATATAAAAGTGTAGCTCATGAATGCACACAAGAGACCCCTTTTTTGTTTCTGTCATTTGGCGAGCCATAAGAAAAAAACAGTATACTAAGAGTGTCATGATAGCAGAGATGTATTTCTTGATTTTTTTAATCTTGTTTAAAAAAAATAAAGCTATCTATATCAATGCTACTGTCTGCTTTGAGGAGAAGCTTCCCTGGTTAGCTTTTCCTTAAGATCTCCAATGGGTATACAATTTCAAATGTTTCCAGGGGCCCTTCTGAGTCATGAGATTATCAACCCAAGGTTCAAGGTCCTGAAGTCTTGCTGCAATGTAGATGGCAGGCAGACTCAATCTCCAGGTTCTAGATTATAAAGGGTTTAATAGTATTCTATCAGTAGCCCATTAAAAGCATTCTTTACCTAGTGAAAATATGCTTTGCCATGATGCATTAAAGTTTTGCTGCATTTAGTCATATTAGACTTCAGTAGCAGAAGATACATGAGGTTCTATTATCAGGTGTATAAGCCTTCCAATGACTATTTTATAATAGTCAACACATTTTTTCATTCTCAGTTAACCTGATCATCATCAATCTGCAATGACAAAAGCAATTCAGTCAATTTAGTTAGCTTTGTTCAATATTACTGTTTCTGTAATACCTTATTTAACAGTTCTATAACATGTCTAGTGAAATAAGTATCTTTATTATTGGAGAATTTTTCAGAAATGTTTCATGAGCAAAACATATTTCCTAATATTATTTTGGCTACTGTTACAACATCAGACTTTTTGCATGAGAAAAGTTTTTTTTGTTTTTTTTTTTTGAGATAGAGTTTCACTCTTGTTGCCCAGACTGGAGTACAATGGCACGATCTTGGCTCACTGCAACCTCTGCCGCATGGGTTCAAGTGATTCTCCTGCCTCAGTCTCCCGAGTAGCTGGGATTACAGGCATGTGCCACCATCCCCAGCTAATTTTGTATTTTTAGTAGAGACAGGGTTTCTCCATGTTGGTTAGGCTGGTCTTGAACTCCCAACCTCGGCCTCCAAAGTACTGGGATTACAGGCGTAAGCCACCATGCCCGGCCTGAGAAAACTTTTTTCTAGAGACAGCATGAATTAAAAATGACAATTAAATAAAAGTTCTTTCTTTCTTTCTTTCTTTCTTTTTTTATTTTAAGGCAGAGCCTTGCTCTGTTGCCCAGGCTTCAGGTCAGTGGCACAATTTCAGCTCACTGCAACCTCTGCCTCCTGGGTTCAAGCGATTCTCCTGCCTCAGCCTCCTGAGTAGCTGGGATTATAGGTGAGTGCCACCATGTCCGGCTATTTTGTATTTTTAGTAGAGACAGAGTTTCACCATGTTGGCCAGGCTGGTCTCAAACTCCTGACCTCAAGAGATCTACTCACCTCTGCCTCCCAAAGTGCTGCAATTATAGGTGTGAGCCACAGCACCTGGTCTAAAATGTCTTTACAAGTGTTTAAATAGCCCACCAGGTAGCAGAGATGTACATAAAGTTTTGATTGTCTTCTCAGGATTCTATGACAAAAAAAAAATTGTCCTAACCTATTTTAGTAATTAGAATAGTCACCACACACACACACACACACACACACATATATACACACACACAGACTCTTAATTTATAGTTAACTTAGTCTATTTTTATCTCTTCTGTGATGAGTAATTAAATGCAGTGATTTTGATAGAGGAAGCTTCAAGAACTCAGAAATGAACAAGTGGCTGTTGGCTGTCTAGGTTCTCCATGAGTCCACACATAACACTCAATTCATGTCCTCTTCAATATCTGGTTTGTTTTTTCAATTCAGGTGCATAACACTGATAACTGAGAAGTTATCACACATAATTTGACTTGGACCACAGAGTTTATTCATATGGCATATCTACAACAATTTTAGTACTGGCTAATTCAGTATAAAAATGTGGTAGAGTATTTTCATGATGTTCAATTAATTTTTGTTTTGCCTGGATTCTTAGTTTTGTAAGAGTCATTCTCTTCATTAGAATTCTCACACTTCTCACCCAGTCTAAACAGTTTGATTCTAAAATTATCAGAAATTGTACTCAACTTGTCTGGGTCCTTTCCATCTTTACGTGAACTTCCTTAAAGACACAATACTCTAGGATTTTGCGCGTTTCTGAACCTTTTAAAACTATGCTAAAATTAATTCATTAACTGTGGAAATAACTTAAAATAGTTATAAACAAATGAAAACATTGATTATACCTGTGTCCTACAATAACCTATCATAATAACCATAATTATGACTAATAGTATATAGTCAGAAATTTCATACAATTTTCAAATAAATGCTAATAACCTTTATTAAAATATAAGTTGAAGAAGGTCAGACATCATTTTTAATTTTATGATGACTTCCATGTAATTTAACATATCAAATAATCCTGACGATTCCTCTTCTGGGTGTTGCATTAGTCCTCTGCAGCATCGAAAAGTTAAGGGTCAAAGAAAAGACAATTATTAAACTGAAATTTCATTCTGGAAAGCCTGTTAAATATGTCAAAGGGTTAAAACACTTGACCAAAAGAGAATCACAGGTTCCCATAAGATAATAGTCATTTATTTAGCCAAAGTGATGATCAAAGTGATGATTAAAAGATTTTTAAAAAACACCAAAATCTTGGGCCGGGCATGGTGGTTCACACCTGTGATCCCAGCACTTTGGGAGGCCAACGCACATGGATCACAAGGTCAGGAGTTTGAGACTAGCCTGGCCAATATGGTGAAACTTCGTGTCTACTAAAAATACCAAAATTAGCCAGGCGTGGTGGTGGGTGCCTGTAATCCCAGACACTTGGGAGGCTGAGGCAGGACAATCGCTTGAACCCAGGAGGTGGAGGTTGCACCACTGCACTCCAGCCTGGGTGACAGAGTGAGACTCCTGCCTCAGAAAAAAATAAAATAAAATAATATTTTATTGTTTGAGACAGGAGACTCAGTTTTTCAATCAAAAGACCTGAAAAAGCCAGCATGAGAAAAGTCCTATGTTTTCTCTTTTTCCTTTTAAACTTATTCAAAAGGTGAACAAAAATATTTTACTGTGTCATATTAATAATACATACACTTTTTGTTCAAGATTCAATCAGCTTTTACACTTTTGGAGCCTCTGATGTTAAATCCTTGATGGCAAAATGAGATTGATCTGACTCAAACATGGACCTCTCTGATTCCTCTTTCTACAATAAACATGAGTCTCAAAAAGAGGTCACAAATAGGTCAAAGTCTCCTAAAACACAAACTTAAAACTTTTACAGTAACAATAACATCACTATTGAAACATGCAAACAACCACAAAAAGATACAAGTATAAGACATTTACAGGATATCCTCAAATATAGTATCTGAAAACATTACAGAAGGCATGGAAGTTTTAATTCAAAATAAAAATTCTTTATTTTAAAGTTCTAAAAATGTGAAATCTTATCATTATGAATAAGTCCACAGTCAGAAAGGTGGCATGAAGACCCCAGGGCACAGCTGCTATGTTTGGAGGTTTAGATCTGTGCCTTTGAAGACCTCCCAAAACCCTTGCCCAAAATTGCAGCCAAGGGCACCTTCCAGGCAGCACATAAGAACCCCCACAATCCCAGATGCTAGCTTGGAAACAGGACCCTGTTCCTGGAAAAAGAAGCCACCTGTAGGAACATGGGGAGCTGCTGAAATCCTGACCCATACACTTGTTCCTCTGCCTGACCTCATCTGCAGGTGGCCACGTTCCCTTGGCAGTGGCAGCAGCAGGCGTCAGGCTGGGCAAAGGGTGGGAGCAGGCAAAAGATGTGCATACAGCCCTCACGATGAGGGGGTGCTGTTAGTGGCATTTCTGGGGCAGAGCCTGCCCCCATGGGAAACTTCAAGAAATTCAAGGATCTGTGTCCTGCATAACCTGGTGTGTTCCCTTGTGGCTCCCCCCATATCAGGGACCAGCAGCAGCCATGGGCCTGCTGGCTGATGCCCTACTGGCTACCCCTTCGCTGTCTTCATTTGTTCCAGCCTCTTAGAGCTTCAGGGCTGAAGAAAGTGGATGTGGCAAATGCCACATGGTGCAGTATACATTATTTACTCTCTGCTTTCTTATAAAAAGTTTGCCAACACCTGTTCTTGAGAAGTCATTAAAAAGAAAACCTCTATATTCTTAGAGTTATATTTAATAAAATAAACTTTGAAAAAATGTTTCACTTCAAATAAACTTTTTTGGGTAAAGGTAAAACTATGTCCATTACTC